AGCAGCAGCGGCGGCGCGTGGCAGCGGCAGCGACGGCGCGTGAGCGGCGGTGCGGCGCGTGCGGCGGTGCCTGGATTCGTCGGGGCAGCAGCTCCTCTCCAATTAGGTTTCACCTCGTATATTTTGACCCACTCGAACTACAGCACTAGATGTAAACGAGTTAGATAAACAACAAGAATAAACGAAGGAAAAAGAGGAGAAAACTGGCGGTGTTTCCGGCGGTGGTCGGCGGTGGCGCGGCGGAGATGCAACGGCCGAGAGGGGGGCTGAGCGGCTAGGGTTTTGTTGCTCAAAATCTGATCTCAAAACTCCTTTTGAGGTCTATTTATACTTAGGGTTTTAAACCCTAGTGGGCTTAAGTCATTGGGCTTGACCCACTGATGCATTAAGCCCATTCCCTCGTCGGCCTCGTTTCTAATAAACGATCGTTCACAAAATTATAACAAAATTATATTTGTGACGAGCTCAAAGTCCTCGTCGATACGAGTGCCTCTTTGAAATTTCCAATTTCCAAAATTGGAAACTTCCACTTTAGTGGACTTGCTAAATCGGGAAACTTCCCAATTTAGAAAGTTCACTAAATTCCGCATGTCTCTCTTTCTCTACGTTTATTCCGATTCGCAATCCACAATTACGAATCTTGGATTCAATCATATTGACATCCAATCGTTCAAAGATTAACACATTAATCTATGCTTGTTGTTTTCAAGGATCTATTGTACACGAGAAGTGTGACCCTCAATGGTTCAGGTGTATGCTAGCCGTGGGCTCACAACTCTTTGTGATTCGAACAACATATTGTTCTTATACGAACTCCTCCCAAGAGTCCCGATTAGAGTAAAACTCATTTTACCTAATCCCCGATCAAATCGGTGCCCAACGAATCAAGATTGGCGTCTAGCAACTACGCATCATGATTCCCTAGATACAAATGAAGTGCCTGCAAGAACCTTATGATATAGTTAGCGTACAGTACGATCCCTTCGTAGCACATGTCCCGATTGAACTAGAGGCATTGGTTCACCGAGACCTCTTATAAAGTTCAATGACTGTGCGAACGTTCTAGGTATTATAAATCCGTTCGTGTGCGACTTAGGGAAACACATTTCCCTAATCACCCCACTATCAACTCTGGCCAGAGATTACATGGATTATAAACCGTCAGAACACACAGGACATCCATGACTACTCAAGCGCTCGAATCCCCTACTACAATGCACAGACTTCACACTAGATTTCGGATTGCACGAACGTTGGGCCTTGGAGCGGTCCGCGGTGGGACTCAGGGACAGGTCACGATACAATCGGTCCTCTAGTGAAGTCACGGTGATGTCTGGGTCTTAAGGACTAATGGTGTACAACTATATCTTAGAGACCTATTACTCGATGAATGAGAACCACTTATAGATTTCTAGGGCGAGGGAGTTCAGTGAACTCATCCAGTATGAGCACCCACTCAAGTATGCCGATGTCACAACACCGAGGACTGATGAGACGCAGTACACATACACTAAGTGCTAGTCTCAAAAGGGAAAGGCCGGTATCCTCATTATTGGCGTAACCCATCGACTAGGAACAAGGTTTAACAGTTACATTACATTGCTGAGTTATCTCACGATTCTACTAGATCAACTCACAGTAATAGAGTAACTCGTTAGGACTATATCTATGCTGCTTGCATGGGATAACAGATATAGAATGCCAAATAAGATATTTTATTATTACGAACGAAAAACGATTGTTTTATTACAAAGAAAAGAGAAAGACCACAGCCACAAGTTGGCTTGCCGGTCACCTACTCTAACACTCTTAAGAAATCAACATTAGAAAATAACAAGAATAGTCGGAAAACATTATATTATACATAAGGGTTAAAATGGTTTCCCGATAACATATTCAACTACCACGGATTACAATCCACTAAGAAGATTCAAGTACCAAAACGGAAGTTTATTAAAATCCACATATATTCCATACGGCTCGATCCCTCGGCTTTCCCCGAACTTGGTTCAACTTTGCTCCTCGGATTCGGATCATGCGTTACCTACACCAAGATAACATCTATATGAGCCTTTAAAAAGACTCAGTAAGAATCCAGAAGTAATAACAAGGTTTTGAAAAAGTCTTTACACATAATTTATATATATACACACACATATATATATACGCATACACGAACACATAATAAACTTATGATCATTCAAACTTACACTTACGATACCTTACCTTTACCTTTCATTTAAACCTTTCATATTCTTTTTAAAGTCGGGTACTTAACACCCTTCTTCTCTTTACTTTAATATGCAAAAGTCGGGTACTTAACACCCTTCTTCTCTTTACTTTAATATGCAAAAGTCGGGTACTTAACACCCTTCTTTTCTTTACTTTAATATGCAATATGCATGAAAATGAGACTAGACTTTGAAAAACTTTTCATGAGAAAACATTGGGCCCGTTTGGAAAAACAATCGTGGAGTTCGGCAATAAGCCGTGTGTTTTGGAGCTTGTGATCTATAACTTTACTATAGTCACGACTATAACTTTACTATAGCCGGGTTAGTGGTTTATAATCCCGATTCCTATGTGAATCAGTCCCTATGTGGACAGGCCCCTATGTGGACCCCAACTATCAACCACTAACCGGAATATAGTCACGGCTATAACTTTACTATAGCCGAGTTAGTGGTTTATAATCCCGATTCCTATGTGAATCAGTCCCTATGTCGACAGGCCCCTATGTGGACCCCAACTATCAACCACAAACGGAATACCAGCCCCCCGTATCCCATACTTATTCACCTAGATCCACAACCAATTTCCAAACATTTTTAACTTTGAAAAATCGTGATGTATGCATCTTAGACTTACTAATGAATGACATGAAGGTTACATGATCTATCTATGTTTAATCAAATAAACAAACATAAAAGTAACAAGTATCACAACAATTATACTTCACATCTTCAATCAAATCATTGAACACATAACCATATAGAACATAGCACCTTTACTTCATATTTCATTCCATAAACACACATAAATATTTAATATCACATAGTAGCACAAAGAAGGGCATTCTTCAACTTTAACCATATTGTAATCACATAATCATATAACCATGTCATTCATAGCATATCAATATCACTCATATCATGAATTATGAAAATTATCATATACGGCATTACTTTAGTCTAATCACTTAATACATAAACCTTTATTTCAAAAGGGTCACATAACATCACAAATAATATACGAAAACAATCAAGTATTCTAATTTATCATTATAAATCAATTAATCATTTTTCTAAATCTTGCACTTGATTCATAACACCGTTCTAGGCTAGTAGACTCTAATTCTCTCTTATAACATGGAACATAATACCTAAACTTAGATCATTAGACCATAACTTAGAGGTTTCACCTTCATCACTAACTTATCTTTCCTACCTCGTATATTAGAACCATGATCACAAATCATACTTTGATAAAAATAGTCATCTTAAGAAAATCAAACAGCTTGGGTATCCTAACTTTGAAAAATCATTTCTCTTGCACCACAAATCAAAAGCCTTTGAAAGTTTTACTACATACTCCTTTATATGTCTTTAAAACCATCAAGAAACAGTTTAGAAAAATCATTATCCGAGTAAGAGATATAAATAAATTTCTAAGGTGGTACAATTTTGAAATCTGAACAGAGGGAGTCACTTTAAAAATTTATTGCGCTTTACATATTCATCCAAACCTTTTGAAATTTTAACTACATATACTATTAGGAGTCTTATATACCCCTGAAAAACAGTTTTAGAAAATATTCAGGAAATTAGGATAAATAAGTAAAATGGTACTGTAGTGCAGTTTAAAACTCAGAACAGGGGAGGGGACTTCAAATATTTCTTATAAATTATCTACTGTATCAATCACTGTCAAATATTATCTCAGATGAGTTCTATAAGTTGGCGTTCTAATCCAATTGGACTTACTAAATTTGAAAGAGGAAAATATTAGATTTAATTACTAATTCTAAACTAACTCTAGTTCTGTACAGTTTCGGTAAATAATTCATAACTCATTCATTTCTACTCTAAAAATTACAAGCCACCTATCAATATGACCATAATAGAGAGATCTATCCTCATAAATAAACTCGTGGGTGAAACATGGGTTAAAATCCGTACCTATGAATCTGAAAATTTTACATATAACCATCTATTTCAAGATTCTAGACCCAATCAACTTATGTGCCTCAAATCAAAACCTTAAACATATAATCATAATTAGTAAATCTTAACATGCAATCATTATAAACATCAAGATAATTAATTTCATAGCATATAATCATCAAATTTTCCGTTTTCTCACCAATCTTCTATTTTCTTTCAAGAATCAAGAATCAAGAGCTAGATTCTCACATGCAAAGTTTTAAACATGAAATTAAACATGTCAAAACATCATCATCATTTTTCTCATCAAAGATCAAGGATTCAAGCATGGATCTTAACATGCATGAGGCTAAATATATAATATAACATACTATGAGCACTTTCTTTCATAAAACTTTCGATTTCTTCAAACACTCAAGAAGGGGAGTTTTTCAAAAAGAGAAGAGAAGGAAATACTATTGATGTTAGCTTGATGTAGCAAGAATTCCATGATTCTTACCTTAGGATCTTTTCAAAATTTGAAGAACTTTGTGGATATTTGCAACCCACTAGAGAATCCTTCAAGAAATTCAAAAATTAGAGAAAGCTCTTAGGGGATTTTCGAAAATTGAAGAAAGAAACAAAGAACAAGAGTTTTCTTACACTTCTTTTTGGAGAACCTCTTTTATTGAAATGAAAAGACTTCTTGAACTTTACCACACTACAAATTTCGAAATTAAGGAAGAAGAGAGGAAGAGATTTAATGGGGAAGGCTTGAATTAGAAGAAGAGATTTCTTCTTCTACTTGGGGCTATTTTGATCGATGGAGAGGGGGAAGGAGAAGAGGACTTGGCTGATTTTTGGTGTGAGGAAATGAAGAGGAGAGGGTGGTATTTATAGAATTGGAGAGGCTTGTATTCTTAATGAGTAAGTATGAAGAGGGGTCTTTTTGCAATTAGGAGTAACTTGAAATAATCTAGGGGGACTTCTAGGCAATTTCATTTAAGTTATCTTAAAAATAATGCTAAATGAAAAGTCAAGTGGAAATGCACATGGAATAAGGGTATGCATGCAACACATACAATCCTAGCCAATTTAAAGAGGGTAATTTACTATCAATTAAGCATATAAACTTTCTAGTGTGAGAAAATAAATTCTTATATTACTAAAACTAAATTCACGTAGATCACATAATTTCACGTGTTCAATTATATTAAACACATGTGTAGACGCATAAAATTAATTAATTGGTTAATTAAATTAGCCAATTAATTTGTGTCTAAATTAAATTATAATTTATCTTGTAAAATAATTTATGGAGATAATTATCAATTAATTATTGACCAACAGGATTATTTCTTATCTTCCAAGTTATAAGAGATAAATATCAATTTAAAGAGAGCCAATCAAATCGCGCCACGTCATCAAGCAGACTTTAAGTAGGACTCTTATTCTACCACTATAAATAGGGACCCTCCCTACACAATTCAAAACACAACTCAAGAAGGAGAAAAACCGTAGAGAAAATTCTTTCTACAATATTCAAGTCGTTCTTCAACAAATTCAAGGCGTTCTTCAACAAATTCAAGGCGTTCTTCAACAAATTCAAGATCAAATCGAGGGCGTTCTTCAACAAATCAAGATCGAAGGAAGATTGAAGGGCCAAATCCATCAAGAACTCCACGATCTTCAAGTCAAAACCCGTCAAAGTTTAGCGTTTGATCCGAGATTCAAGACGCAAGACCCTTGGAAGACGTTATTCAAATCCAAATCAAATCCGGAGAAGATCAAGTCAACGACCAGACTCCGAAATTCAAAGTCAAACAAAAATTGTTCTTGATAGAAGAATCAGAGGATTAAATTAGAGTTTGTAACCCGCATATATTTTATTTTAATTCAATAAAATTATTTTTGTGCACATTTTTCTTGTTGGTCTAAATTCGCAGATAAGGATTTTGTTGCTACAAATTTTGGCACGCCCGGTGGGACATCTCTACCTCTCATCTCTTCTCTCTCTCAAAGATCATCGAAGTGTTGTAGTGACTGCTCTTCGTTGCAATGAAGACTGCTACTTTTGATTCATCAAGTGTGGGCGTAGCTACAAGGAGTATGACCAAGAAGCTAGAAGCATCCTCCAAGACTAGATCGACGCCCCAAACCGTTCAGAAAGGCTTACCACCTCTTGTCAACACAAGCGCCGACGTGGAAGGCTCAAAACGGGAGATGTCACAGTCACAGCCCATGCCTCATTCAACATCAAGCTACTCAGAGATGGCATCCGTCATGACAACAAACGCTACAACTATGGAAGAGCAAATTGCAAGTTTGACCAAGGCTATTGAGGGACTCACAAAGCATGTTCAACAACGAGATTCTCAAATTGCCAAGTTGATCGAGAAGATGAACATAGCCGATGCTAGTCAAATTGTGGAACAGATAGAAGCTCAAGACGAAGTCGAGGCATCCACAAAGCAACAGTCAGTTGAAAACGAGAAGGCTCCAGCTCAAGATTTTCAAGTTTCTCCAGAAGGGATGATTCATTTAGATCAAGTGATGACGCTGATCAGTAGAACAATCAAAGACAAGTTGGAAGGAAGCTCGAAGTCGCCATCAACCTATGTCAAGCCATACACGCAAAAGATCGATGATCTAAAGATGCCAATGGGCTATATACCTCCAAAGTTTCAACAATTTGACGGCAAAGGCAACCCCAAGCAACATGTGGCACACTTCGTCGAGACTTGCAATGATGCCGGGACGTACGGAGATCACCTCGTCAAGCAATTCTTCCGATCGCTAAAAAACAATGCGTTTGATTGGTACATTGATTTGGGGGCAAACTCCATCGATAGTTGGAAGCACTTAGAGGAAGAATTTCTCAACCGCTTTTACAACACTCGAAGAACACTCAGCATGATTGAGCTCACCAATTCCCGCCAATGGAAGAAGGAACCTGTCATCCACTACATCAACCGTTGGAGAAATTTGAGTCTTAATTGCAAGGATCGACTGCCTGAGACATCAGCTATTGAACTATGCATCCAAGGAATGCAATGGGGACTCCAATATATCCTTCAAGGAATTCAACCTAAAAGTTTTGAAGAGTTGGCCACTCAAGCACATGATATGGAATTGAGCATAACTGCAAATGAAGTTGAAGAACCTTCATTCCAAAAGTCGTACCAGCTCAATGAAGAACATGTCGAAGAAGAACAAGAGGATCATGAGGATGGGGGCAAGTCTTTTGAAGAAACAACATCTTATGCAATATGACAAGTCACATCAAGTGAAATACTCCTTGACACGAGTTTAAAAGGTCTATAAGTCCAAATCAAGTGAAACACTCCTTGACACGAGTTTAAAAGGTCTACATGTCCAAATCAAATCAAGTACTCCTTGACACGAGTTTAAAAGGTCTACATGTCCGAATCAAATGAAATACTCCTTGACACAAGTTTAAAAGGTCTACATGCCCCAATCAAACAAATTACTCATTGACACGAGTTTAAAAGGTCTACATGTCCAAAACAAACGAAGTACTCCTTGACACGAGTTTAAAATGTCAACATATCCAAATCAAACCAAGGCTCCTTGATACGAGCATAAACTATCTATACATCCAAATCAAATCAAGACTCCTTGATACGAGCATAAACTATCTATATATCCAAATCAAGTCAAGGCTCCTCGATACGAGCATAAACTATCTATATATCGAAATCAATTCAAGGCTCCTTGATACGAGCATAAACTATCTACAAATTCAAGTCAAATGCTCATTCAGCACGAGCTTAAACTGCAAATGTTTCTCCTTGTCCACATGAGTATAAACTGTGCATGACATCCCTCAAAAGGATATATTTTGAACTACGTTATGACTTGATCCCTTTATAGGGTACGTAGGCAACTTAGAATCTCTCTAAGTTCAGTCATGATGTATGTGCTTTGCTAGATCGAGCTGCAATTGAAGTTGAGCAATTACCGAGACTCATTCACTCCAAGATGCATTGTCCGTGAACAAGTCTCGAGGGGGCATTTGTAGACGCATAAAATTAATTAATTGGTTAATTAAATTAGCCAATTAATTTGTGTCTAAATTAAATTATACATTGTCTTGCAAGACAAGTCATGGGGATAATTATTAATTAATTATTGGCCAATAGGATTATTTCTTCTCTTCCAAGTTATAAGAGATAAATATCAATTTAAAGAGAGCCAATCAAATCGCGCCACGTCATCAAGCAGACTTTAAGTAGGACTCTTATTCTACCACTATAAATAGGGACCCTCCCTACACAATTCAAAACACAACTCAAGAAGGAGAAAAACCGTAGAGAAAATTCTTTCTACAATATTCAAGTCATCTTCATCAAATTCAAGGTGTTCTTCATCAAATCGAGGGCGTTCTTCAACAAATCAAGATCGAAGGAAGATTGAAGGGCTAAATCAAGATCGAAGGAAGATTGAAGGGCCAAATCCATCAAGAACTCCACGATCTTCAAGTCAAAACCCGTCAAAGTTTAGCGTTTGATCCGAGATTCAAGACGCAAGACCCTTGGAAGACGTTATTCAAATCCAAATCAAATCCGGAGAAGATCAAGTGAACGACCAGACTCCGAAATTCAAAGTCAAACAAAAATTGTTCTTGATAGAAGAATCAGAGGATTAAATTAGAGTTTGTAACCCGCATATATTTTATTTTAATTCAATAAAATTATTTTTGTGCACATTTTTCTTGTTGGTCTAAATTCGCAGATAAGGATTTTGTTGCTACAACATGAAATACATTTTAGTTGCGCAAATAGAAAATAAAATCAAAATATTCATGTAGACATATAATGCACATTAGTTCACATAATTTCACATAAATAGCAAATAAAGCAAATTGAAAAGCAACTAATTAAATTCGCACATACAACACATATGCATGTAAAGGAGACGAGAGGGAAAATACGGAAACCGGGTTTTGGAAACGCGGGGTGTTACAATCTCCCCCCCTTAAAAGAATTTTGTCCTCAAAATTGTTACCTGCCCCGAATAAATTCGGGAATCGACTCGTGATTTCCCTTTGGGGTTCCCAATCTATATTTTGGCCTTTCGGTCGAGAATTTGGATGGGTTGTTTAGGTAGATGAAAGGCTAGGGGTAGGCTAATTGGTTTGGTTTCAAGGATGTGGTTGGGGTTGGGAACGTACTACGGTTGCATCGAAACGGAGAAGACATCGTGACATTGAGGTAAATTGTTCGGTTGGAACTTTATTTAGTGGGGCATAAACATGACTACTGCCGGTGAGTAGAGTACCTACTACCATGGAAGGTTCTGAGTGTTCTTCTTGGTCATTGTGAAAACTCTACCAGGCACTCGGTTCGGAGGTTGAGTGCAATCCTTGGCCATATGCCCAGGTTTTCCACACCGGAAACAGTTATTAGTTCCTTGGACGCAAACTCCAAAGTGAGGTTTCCCGCATTTCTGGCATATTGGTTTCATCGGTTGAGCAGGGATATTCTTTATAATCGGTTGCTTCTCTTTGTTGTTAGATTGGTTGGGTCCATCGTTGGGTCCGGTGTTCGGCTTTTTCCACGGGCGGTGAATGGAGGATTCTGTCTTTCGGAATTGTTGGATATCTTGTTCGTCTAGAGCTGCTACGAGGGCCTTGTCTACCATTTCACGGTAAGTAGAAGCAGAGGCCATACGGACATTTCTTCTAATCACGGGATTAAGGCCTTGCAAAAAGTGGTTCTTCTTTTCTTCGGCATCTTTGGCTATGAATGAGGCATAGATGCATCCTTGTTCGAATTTACGAACATAATCGGCAACGGACTGATTTCCTTGTTTCAAGTCTAGAAACTCTCTAATTTTCTGGGCGCGGACATCCTTGGTAAAATACTTCTCGAAGAATCGGATTTTGAACGTCGCCCAATCTATATTTTCTAAGTCGATTCCTTCTTTGGCACCTTCCCACCAATGACGAGCTTCATTCTTAAGCAAAAACAAGGCACAATGGACTCGGTCACGATCCGTCATTTCCATGTAATCAAAAATCACTTCGAGTGACTTGATCCATTCCTCGGCGATTGTTGGGTCTGAACCACCGTGAAATTCTGTCGGATTCATTTGCAAGAACCGTTCGTACATAGCTAGCGGTGCCGTATTTTGAGGAGGAGGTGGGGGAGGGGTAGGTTGTCGACCACGGGTTTGGAGGTTGACAAGACGGTTAATTTGGTCGTTTTGCTCTCGGATAAGAGCGGTAAGGTCTCGAATGGTGGGTATTTGGTCACAAGGGTTTTCGGTAGGGTAGTGATCGCGGTTGGTGTTTCGAGTCCTTCGTCCCGACATAGTGATACTAAACAAAATAATAATATTCTACATTATCACATAAAACATATAACACACATAATTAAACACTTACATACCGCTCCGATTTGCATCATCGATCCTTGTTCCGGAGATTCCGAGATTGATCGATTCGTATGGATTTTCCCAAAATCGGTGCTCTGATACCACCTCATGTAGCACCCCGTTTACTTTATACTCTATACCGGAAAATGATATCAAGGTTTTTATAATAAGTTGCAGCGGAAGACCTTTTGAAAATACGGTTTTGTTTTTTCGATACAAAGTTCTAGAGAAAGGTGGTAAAGTTTTCTCTAGTTTTGGAAATACTTGAAGTGGTTCGCTTCAATTTTCGTTCGATAAAAATCTTTTCTTGAAAAACCTTTGAAGTCGAACACTTCATATATTTAGTCAAAAACATTCTCCCTTTATTCGGTGCCACATTTTTCTTTAAACGTTTTCTTACTTTAAATGATGGATCGGGTTGTGGTGGAGCTCTTAAGAAATCAACATTAGAAAATAACAAGAATAGTCGGAAAACATTATATTATACATAAGGGTTAAAATGGTTTCCCGATAACATATTCAACTACCACGGATTACAATCCACTAAGAAGATTCAAGTACCAAAACGGAAGTTTATTAAAATCCACATATATTCCATACGGCTCGATCCCTCGGCTTTCCCCGAACTTGGTTCAACTTTGCTCCTCGGATTCGGATCATGCGTTACCTACACCAAGATAACATCTATATGAGCCTTTAAAAAGACTCAGTGAGAATCCAGAAGTAATAACAAGGTTTTGAAAAAGTCTTTACACATAATTTATATATACACACACATATATATATATAGGCATACACGAACACATAATAAACTTATGATCATTCAAACTTACACTTACGATACCTTACCTTTACCTTTCATTTAAACCTTTCAAGGATACTTAACATCCTTTCATATTCTTTTTAAAGTCGGGTACTTAACACCCTTCTTCTCTTTACTTTAATATGCAAAAGTCGGGTACTTAACACCCTTCTTCTCTTTACTTTAATATGCAAAAGTCGGGTACTTAACACCCTTCTTTTCTTTACTTTAATATGCAATATGCATGAAAATGAGACTAGACTTTGAAAAACTTTTCAAGAGAAAACATTGGGACCGTTTGGAAAAACAATCGTGGAGTTCGGCAATAAGCCGTGTGTTTTGGAGCTTGTGATCTATAACTTTACTATAGTCACGACTATAACTTTACTATAGCCGGGTTAGTGGTTTATAATCCCGATTCCTATGTGAATCAGTCCCTATGTGGACAGGCCCCTATGTGGACCCCAACTATCAACCACTAACCGGAATATAGTCACGGCTATAACTTTACTATAGCCGAGTTAGTGGTTTATAATCCCGATTCCTATGTGAATCAGTCCCTTTGTGGACAGGCCCCTATGTGGACCCCAACTATCAACCACAAACGGAATACCAGCCCCCCGTATTCCATACTTATTCACCTAGATCCACAACCAATTTCCAAACATTTTTAACTTTGAAAAATCGTGATGTATGCATCTTAGACTTACTAATGAATGACATGAAGGTTACATGATCTATCTATGTTTAATCAAATAAACAAACATAAAAGTAACAAGTATCACAACAATTATACTTCACATCTTCAATCAAATCATTGAACACATAACCATATAGAACATAGCACCTTTACTTCATATTTCATTCCATAAACACACATAAATATTTAATATCACATAGTAGCACAAAGAAGGGCATTCTTCAACTTTAACCATATTGTAATCACATAATCATATAACCATGTCAGTCATAGCATATCAATATCACTCATATCATGAATTATGAAAATTATCATATACGGCATTACTTTAGTCTAATCACTTAATACATAAACCTTTATTTCAAAAGGGTCACATAACATCACAAATAATATACGAAAACAATCAAGTATTCTAATTTATCATTATAAATCAATTAATCATTTTTCTAAATTTTGCACTTGATTCATAACACCGTTCTAGGCTAGTAGACTCTAATTCTCTCTTATAACATGCAACATAATACCTAAACTTAGATCATTAGACCATAAATTAGAGGTTTCACCTTCATCACTAACTTATCTTTCCTACCTCGTATATAAGAACCATGATCACAAATCATACTTTGATAAAAATAGTCATCTTAAGAAAATCAAACAGCTTGGGTATCCTAACTTTGAAAAATCATTTCTCTTGCACCACAAATCAAAAGCCTTTGAAAGTTTTACTACATACTCCTTTATATGTCTTTAAAACCACCAAGAAACAGTTTAGAATAATCATTATCCGAGTAAGAGATATAAATAAATTTCTAAGGTGGTACAATTTTGAAATCTGAACAGAGGGAGTCACTTTAAAAATTTATTGCGCTTTACATATTCATCCAAACCTTTTGAAATTTTAACTACATATACTATTAGGAGTCTTATATACCCCAGAAAAACAGTTTAGAAAATATTCAAGAAATTAGGATAAATAAGTAAAATGGTACTGTAGTGCAGTTTAAAACTCAGAACAGGGGAGGGGACTTCAAATATTTCTTATAAATTATCTACTGTATCAATCACTGTCAAATATTATCTCAGATGAGTTCTATAAGTTGGCGTTCTAATCCAATTGGACTTACTAAATTTGAAAGAGTAAAACATTAGATTTAATTACTAATTCTAAACTAACTCTAGTTCTGTACAGTTTCGGTAAATAATTCATAACTCATTCATTTCTACTCTACAAATTACAAGCCACCTATCAATATGACCATAATAGAGAGATCTATCCTCATATAAAATTCCGTAGTTTTCATAAATAAACTCGTGGGTGAAACATGGGTTAAAATCCGTACCTATGAATCTGAAAATTTTACATATAACCATCTATTTCAAGATTCTAGACCCAATCAACTTATGTGCCTCAAATCAAAACCTTAAACATATAATCATAATTAGTAAATCTTAACATGCAATCATTATAAACATCAAGATAATTAATTTCATAGCATATAATCATCAAATTTTCGGTTTTCTCACCAATCTTCTATTTTCTTTCAAGAATCAAGAATCAAGAGCTAGATTCTCACATGCAAAGTTTTAAACATGAAATTAAACATGTCAAAACATCATCATCACTTTTCTCATCAAAGATCAAGGATTCAAGCATGGATCTTAACATGCATGAGGCTAAATATATAATATAACATACTATGAGCACTTTCTTTCATAAAACTTTCGATTTCTTCAAACACTCAAGAAGGGGAGTTTTTCAAAAAGAGAAGAGAAGGAAATACTATTGATGTTAGCTTGATGTAGCAAGAATTCCATGATTCATACCTTAGGATGTTTTCAAAATTTGAAGAACTTTGTGGATATTTGCAACCCACTAGAGAATCCTTTAAGAAATTCAAAAATTAGAGAAAGCTC